AGTTTTGCATTCTTGGATATAATGATTATTAAGGTGTCATATGAACAGATGGGATATGAATGATGAAGCTCAAATTGAGTAACTACCAGTTGAGAGGAAATGACTAATTGAACTTCAAAGAACAAGAAGTCTGTCTTCTTGCCGTCAAAATATATGAAGAAAATACAGATTTGTACCTTCAAATGTATTTGAAGGTCTGCTGCTTCTGCTTTGATAGTATGTAATTTTTTATGTTCATGCTGGCAGCTTGTCTGCTTGCATTAGTGTAGGAGACTGAACTGAAATGAAATCTTTTACTGTATTTTCGCGAATAAAAGACGAGGTTTTCTCCCCCAATCACCATGGGGAGAAAGCCCCTTGTTTCCTTATATGCAAATATAAAACAGCATATGTCAAACAAGCTTTAGTTAAAGCACCCCTGCCACCATTTTTTAGTATGGGGACACTGATACATGTGACACTGGAGTCTGCTGGAGCACGGTATGTACCACATGCCAGCAGACTCGATTAATCAAGTCTGCTCCGACGCACTGTAAGTGCGTTGAAGCAGCCTCCCTGCACATGTATAGGAGCCCTACATGTCCAGCTAAACCCATAGTGAGATTAAATTAAACAGAGCAAAAGGCCTGAAAAGAAACATTATACAAAAAGCCCATAAGATAGAAAATTCAGATATACCATGTCATGGCTTTGTCTTTAAAATGTTAATAGTAGTGATTGATATAACCACAGGTATTAGATGTAGTTCTGCAATAATAAATACATTTGTGTTAAGTTTCTTAGACAAGGGTGCTTTGTTTTGACAATTTGTCTGTGAAGACCATAAACCAAGCTGAAAAGAAAACATGACAGTGGGAAGCAGAATTCCAAGATGATGAAGAAAGGAGATAAGCAGTCCCTTCTTCCAAAATTATAATTTTCACAAGGACATAAATACTATTTAATTGACACTTTTCCAGTCCGTAGAAAAACTGGTTCAATCTGGTTCCTGAAGTCTCAATACAACAAGGAAATCTAAATCAGCCAATTAAAAATGTTTTTTTTTTTAGAATAAGCCAGGTATAAATATATGATACAGTCTGGAGAGAAAATTTGGGAACTCAGCAAATATGGGAAGATCTACTACCTGTCTAGATGCCACCATCTTCCCTGTGCTAGAGGCAGTATAGGTAAGAATCTCTCCTGCACTGTGTTGGATACCTGGATTGACACTGGGATAAGTGTTTGTTCTTGTTCTCTAGGGTCTAAATAGTAAAAGGTCACACTGTAGATCTGTCTCTTGCCTCTTTTATTAGTAGCTAACCTACTAAACTCCTGTAATCTAGGTAACAACGCACAGGAAGAAAAAATCAAACTGCACATCACATGGAGAGATGCAAAAAATGGGGACTGTGGACTCGCACAAAAAGCGGAGTAGTATTTAACGATAGGAAAATGTGATTATAAAACCAAAATGTTTGCATCAAGATACACTGTAAACCATACTGTTGGAAATTAAATACCCTTTTCTGAAATCTCCATCTTTTATCTGGGTCATATTCATTCTGGATTTCCATAGAAATTAATAGTCCAGAGAAGCAGATCATAGTTGCAGTACATCTCAACCAAATCATTATGTCCAGGATGCAAATGAATTAGGGCACTTCACTAAAAGACCTCATGCAGAATTGTTTTTCAACGTATGTCTGTGTATGTATAGATGGATACACAATTAAACACTCGAACTCTAGGTAGAGAATAATCTGTAAACTATCAACGATAGCTTTTAGCACCGGTCTATGAAAGAGTTCAAGAATTATCTACAGTTCTCCTTATCATGATTCCTGACACCTCAGCACTTACATCTTTGGTTAACTTTGAACATATGTTTAATCCCATTCAGATTTTCTCTGTATTTATTTGTATGCTAGCATTCTGAGTTGGTTGCTTGCTAATAATAGAGCAAGCAATTAATATAAATATAGATGCATCTTTGGGGGAGAGATGGGAAGCAGGTAAGAGTGGAGAGACTACGTGAATAAGAGCAGGAAAGGAGACTTGGATATGGAAGGCAGTGGGTGGTGGGGAGACTGCAGCCCTAATCTTAGTTTCTGTTTGACTCTTCCAAATTTTAAGTTGTATATGCTTTTGTATTTTCTTGAAACCTTAGAAGTTACATTATGCTTGAACTTGCTGCAAATCACATACTGGCGAGAGAAAAAAAACGAATTGCCAGTTTAGATAGCAAAAGCCCAAATGTGAGTTGTCCCACCAGTAAGGTTAAAGTTTGCTTACATACCATATGCGGTTTCCACCCAAAGATCAGCTCTCCAAAACTGGGGAGTATATTCTTAATCAGAGAAGCTAGAGGCATGAAGATACTGTGTTGCAAAATGGCTTCCAGCTCCTCTATTAGCAAGCAAGCAGAAGAGGAGGAGTCCCATGTTAGCCCTTTCCCAGCCACTCAGCTTGGTGGCTGTGAGAGAAGCTGGCAGTAATTTTGCAGTGCAAAAATCTTTTTGGTATTCTGCATTCCAAAAACAAGGTGCCTGTCTTTTTTGGGGGCATGTAGTATGCAAGAAAATACAGCATTTGTCAATCCTGGTAAATACTATGAAGTTACAAGAGTTCTGGGGTTTCAGTTAGGGTGTTGGACAGACTTACTGTTTCAAGCACTTGCAATGCTTTGAAATGCTCCAAAAAGCAAGTGTAGTTGCCGCTAAAGCAGTACTTCAAAATGGGCCTTGGTAAAAAGAGGAACATCTTTTGAAGTGCTTCAATTTAAAGTGCTTCCTAAAATATCTGCACTTTTCAGTCATCTTCTGGCCTCCCACAGTATTCTTTTCTCCTTCCCCACCACCCCCTTGCTGCACCTGGCTGTCCTCCGGAGCTGCTGGAGGCCGAGGGTCCCTCCAGACATGCAGGTAAGGGCACTACAGTATCTAATGCGTGATCCACAAAGTCATGCTTCCTGCCACGCCACACATACATGACAGGAAGACTGATTGTGAGGTTGCGCATAAAATCCTATCATGCCTTATTCCCAGTGCAGAGGAAGCTTGGGATCACTATCCCAGGCTCACCCTGCATCAGCAAGGAGTAAGCTCCTGCAGCTGGGAGCTCCCTCGGCTGACAGGACTGCCAACTCCAGGGGTACATAGGGCTCAGCTGTTGGGGCTCCCAGCCACAGGGGCACATCTGGCCACATGTTCAGTTAATGGCGTGGTAGGAACCAGCCACAGACTTCTTACACTTTTTTTTTTGTGGAATAACTTGGTGGCTTATTCCTCATTTTATTGTGCCATTAATTGATTGAATGTGTGGCCAGATCACAATTTAGACATGGTTAAGTGGTTAATCATGTCTTAAGTGTAACCTGTGGTAGGGACCTGAGAGTCATACAGATTTGTACTCTTCAGCCCTGTTGGCAGAAGAATGCTACTGCTGTATGTCTTCTTTAGCATTTTGAAGGACCTAAAGTTGTGGGTCACACATCTCCATGATGCTGAAATGTGCCAAGTTTGAAACACTCTGGGATTTGGGGCATTTTGAGGATATGTCTGTCCATGGCCACAATTTGTGCTTGAGGCTGTTCACTGCGATGGGTTTTTAGATAACTGAAGTTTCATACCTCACAGTGCTCTTGTAGGAGAAAGAGAGCTGGGTTTCTACCCCTCATGGCTTGTCTGATTCTTGCTGTACCCATATGAGGGAGGGAATAATCCACACTAATCTTCCCCTCCTGTTGATGGTTGTGAGAAAGGCTAAGAAAAGTTAAGATGGATTGGTCCCTGCTGCTTTATTTTTTTTTGCAACAGATGTGTGAAGTGTGTGTGTGTGTGTGTGTGTGTGTGTGTACTTATTGTCAAGCAGTGTTCAAATAGTGGCTATGAAGTTGGATGCTTCTGTTAATTTCTTTTGTTGATTAGAAAATCTGTGTACCGAGAGAGATACTTGGTGCTGTTGCTCTGCAGGTTTGGAAAGATGCAACTGCATTTGTTTGCAGCTGGAAAGCTACCTCTGCAAATATTACTTTTTTTTCTTTTTGAGCGGGCTTTATCTCTGTAGAGTTTAGGTGTGTTAGGCTTTTGTGCTTGGCATGTGAGTAAGTGGACTTTTCAAGCCAAATCTGGCATTGTCTCCTTATGTTATCATCATATATCTTAATATTGAGCAAAACATCCAATTGCTGAAATAAGCATTTGTCTCAATCAGATGGTTGGAGTCAGTGAAGTTTCCTGATCCATATCTAAGTTTAAGAGCAATATAAAATGGTATATCAATCATGATTTTTCATTAGATTATAGGCTCTGTCTTTGATATGTACTAACCTGTACAGCATGGGACTGTGACAGAATATAGATCTTTTAAACAAATATTTCAGGAGTGGAACTGTTACTGGTCTTGCACAGGTGATTCTACGTAGGTGAATTGTGAGTTTGAAATATCCAAGTTTCCAGTGCACAAGTTTAAATTAAGATATGTGTATTGAAAATGGAAGTCAACTAACTCTTCCTTCCACTTTAGTCTGAGAACAAATAAGATAGCGTGAACTGGTGTACTGTGATTATTTGGACAGTATGATAAATAATCTCTCATCAGAGATGCAAAACGCTGCTTAATTCTGTATGACAGACATTCAAATAGAAGATGTTCCTGTGAAAATCTGTGCAATCCTATTTAAATTGTAGTTTTACACAGTATTTAATCTGACACTATATTGTACCTGATTTAATATACGGTTTTAAACTCTTAAACAATGCAGATGAATTTGATAAATACTTTAGAGGAAACGGCTCTAAAATATTTACAGCTGGTAGTTTTTATTATCATTTTATCAACCCTTCATTTTCTGATACGTTTCCATAATAATATAGGTAAGAATAAGGCTAGTTATTGTTGTTAATCTATTAAGCTGTTACAAAATTTGTTTGTAAAAGTAGAGCTATTAATAAACAGTTTGTAAAAAAAAAAACAACAAAAAAACAAAAAACGTTATATCTCTTGTTTTTCACATTTAGGTGTATGATTGCTGATGAGGTAAGTGATGTTTCATCTCTTGTATTGTTTTTGTTGTTAGCATTTAGTATGTTGCTTATTGGAGGGGTAGATTGGGGCTAAGAGAAACAGTTATTACGGTGCTCCTCAGATACACAGAAGGTCTGTAAGCATGGAAATTTAAAGTTGAGATTATTCAAATCAACCTTAAACCAGGCTGAGTAATCTCTTTTGTTTTTAAGATGAGGTTTTAATAATTGTATCAAATGCAGGTTAAATATCTTGTGCTTTAACTTTTTCAGTGCATTTAGCAATTGTATATTTTTCTAGTTGGCTATTTTTAAAACAGGAGTAAATTATCTTTTAAAATCAAGTGACATTTTTAAACGGATAACTGTTCTAAATGTGAATATTAAGTGCAGCAGAGCAAGTGCATGAAAACATAAAAATAATACATCATTTTCTGATTAAAACTTGTTTAATTTTTCAGGGAAGTGGGAGAGTAATACTTCTTAAAATTAAAATCTGTTTGTGACAATGTGAAGTGCACTATACAACTAACAATAAAGCTTATACTTTTAAAAGCAGTTTAGGGAAGAGATTCTAATAGGTCTGCATGGGCTCTCATATTTTAAGTTGGATAGAGATTTTTTTTATATTGTGTTGTTACAAGTGACTGATTGCCCAGATATAGATTGGAGAACAAATGTTGCTGATGATGAGAGGAGCCAGTTATTCCTGGATGTGATAGCTGATGGATCTTCATTAAATAATAGTCAGTGAACCAAGGTGATGCCATTTTAAACTTGGTTTTGGGTAAACAGTGATAACATAATAGAGCTGGTTGTTGAAAACAACCTTTGTCCAAGTAAGCACAAGTTGATTCAGTTTATATGAAATGGAGGGAAGAACAAGAAATGCAGAGATGCTAATGAGCTTGGTAAGCTTAACCTAGCAGGCCATGGACAAATGAAAATACCCCAGTAAACAGAGGACTTATCACTACTAGTTCAAAAAGCCAGAGAGGAGAATTAGGGAAGATGCACTCCGTAGCCCAGAAAGTTAACAAATGTAGGCAGTGACGAATGGATGAGGCAGGTATATTGTCTATGGTGGATCTCTCAAACACTCCTCATTTATACAGCAAGTGCTAACCCAGAAAATGTTACTTATTCCAAACACAGCAGTGTGTCAAAGAAAGACCATTTCTTGCTTAAGGAAGTCCCAAACCATTTAGAAGTCAAGGTCCACGAGATACATTTTAAGTTGTGAATGCAATTCTCTGTGGTTCTGTGAAATTATAGCTTCTTTCCATGTGTTTTTTCGTAGATGGGGTTGGGGAAGACAATTCAAGCAATTGCCATTTCTTACTACTATGACAAGGAATGGCCTCTTTTAATAGTAGTCCCTTCATCTCTACGGTACCCTTGGATTGAAGAGATGGAGAAATGGATTCCTGAACTCTGTCCAGACGATCTTAATATTATTCAGAACAAAACTGACATTGGGTGAGTACAGCTTCTTACTCTTCCATAGCAAGGCTCTACTTTTGATTTGTTCAGTGAACTCTTAAAAAATTATACAAAATATTATGTGGCTTGATACCCAGAAAAAGCAAAAGATGTGTGTAGCTGTGAGTCAAGCAGTCTGGGTTCCATGTCAGGTTTCTAATGTGGCCTCAGGGAAGACACTTAATTTCCTATGCTTTAGTTTTTCCATTAAATGAGAAAAAGTAAAAGAGATGTTAATACTTCTTTCTTTCAGAGGAGAGATTAGAAGTTGAGGGTTCTGATTTTTGGGAAGTGATAAATATGTGCCCCCTGAAAATCAGTTTCTTTAGTGCCTGAAGTTAGGTGCATAAAACCATTAGTTGCCCTGGAGAATCTTGCCCTTTAGTTTTACATTTAATGTAAAAAATGTAACGTGAGATCCTCTTCTGGAAGATGCAATATAAGTAAGGAGATTGTTTATATAGCTATAAATATATTTGCTTCATAAAGATTACTTCTACATTTTTTGCATAATAGCTAAGAAGGAACAGGAAGGTTTATGTCAAATCTTCCTTTGCATAACAGGTTGAAGACAACATGTTCAACTATATCTGTTCCCTTTCTGTCTTGAGCTCTTAACAAAAAATACTTGTTCTTGGTTTCAATTTTTTTCAATTTCAGTATCTCTGATTTGAAGGTATTTAAAGGTTTGTTGAATTAATGATCTCATTCCAAGCCTTCAGCTTGTCTGTCACATACCTCATGTAAGTCAGAGCTCTCTCAGCATCAGGCCAGGTTATAACTGCCTATAGCAGTAGTTCTTAATGGTGTTAGACTTAGGCCACCCCTCTGAAAATGCTAGCTCTTAGCTTTCATTCATTTTTTAATGCGGAAAAATAATAAAGCAATTCTTTTATTGCAAACAGCTCAGAAAGATCAAAAATGGGTAAGAATTTTTTTTTTATATTGGATTGTTACTTGAAGTTTTTTGTTTTTTTTTTAAATCACATGTAGGTGTTTACACATCTAACAGTGCTAATATTTCATGACACCCCATGGCACTCTTAAAAAGATTTCCTGGCACCCTGGGTGAGAATTGCTGACCTAGGGACTGCATATACAAAGTTAACCTCAGCATGTACTGGTGCTTCAGTCACAGTCATCTTTGGCATAGCCAGGGAAGACTTTTAGTATAGTGGTGTGAAACTCACTTTTGTTTGTACAACAAGCATGCTCCTGTAGTGAAACAACTGAGGTGAATTACTGTAAACACAGCCCTCAATGAAACAGGGTTAAAGTTATGTTTTGCTACATGTGTATCACTATAGAACAAGGCGGCTATAAATTACATTGTAACAGCTTATGCCCTTATGATTCCATGCCTTGGTAACTGATGCCTTTGTCTGCACCCTTGAAGAGCTACAAAGCCATGCATATTTCTATTTTTTTTTCCTTTGGCCACATAGTCCTGTTCAGTTGGACAGTCATGGCAAGAATGGTACATCTAACCAGCAGTTTCCCTATGTGCAAAACTACCACGTTAAAATATTAGTGAGTGCTTGATATGCATGGTATTGCACTCTTAAAGAATACAAACAAACATATGGGATTTGGGAATCATAAAGATATAAGTTCATAGGTTTCTTGTTTGAAGAAATATTTGAGGTGGGGAAGGAATACAAATTGACACAATGCCACCAACAAAATCTTCAGAACTTGCTTGTAGGTGCATTTGCAATGGTTCTACAAATGCTTACTAAATGTATGGTTTGTAAATGTTTCAGGTGCTAGCATAATTTGGGTTAAACATCAAAATTCTGTAATATCAATAGTTGTGATAGTTGATTGTATAGATTTAGTTGCATTAAGCCATATGCACATTGAAGAGGTGTATCTATAGAACTTATTCACAAGGTGAATTTTGTTTCTTTCTGATTAGTCTTGTTGTTATAAATTAGTAAGCACACATCTGGATTCTCTCTTCCAGGAGAATATCGACCAGCAAAGTGATTGTTTTGGGTTATGGCTTGCTAACTACAAATGCACAGACATTAACAGATGCTTTGTACAAACAAAACTTCAAGGTGGTAATAGTTGATGAGTCTCACTATATGAAATCTAGAAATGCAACCCGTAGCAAGATTTTGTTGCCAATTGTCCAGAAAGCTGTACGAGCCATTCTCCTCACTGGAACACCTGCTCTAGGAAGACCCGAAGAGGTATAAAAATGGGCTGTCAAACGATTAAAACATTTTATCATGATTAGTTGCACAATTAAAAAAATTAGTCACAATTACTCATGATTTTAACCTCACAGCTAAAAACTCAAAATTATGCACAGAAAAACTCAAAATCATGCAAAATTATGCAGGTACTTTGTATGGTTACGGGGTGGGTGTGGTGTATGGGGGGGCGGGATTTGTGAGGGGGGGGCTCTGGGTGTGTATGTGAGGTTTGGAGCAGAGGGAGGGGTGTTGCCCACAGTGGGGTCTGGAGCCCAGGGAGGGGGAACCTCCGCGCACCCTGGCAGGATGCCCAGTCGAAGCAGGGTCTTTCCAGAGCTGCCCCGAATCTGGTGCATCCCCCCTGCCTGATCACAGCCCCAGTGGCAGTGGGATTACCCCACTCTCGCTCCAGTAGTGGGGGCTGCGGGCAGCCCAGGCTGGGGGTAGGTGCTCTGGTGCTGGCCCCGGCCCAGGTCTGAACTTTCCTCACTTACTTGCTCAATGGGTCCCAGGAATTCCTGACATGCTCCAGGCCCAAGGATGCCAGGCAGTCCCGCCATGGCTCAGCACTGCCTTTCCCAAACCCCTGGCACTGCCAGCCCAGCTGCTCAGGGCCCTGGATGGGGGTTGTGGGTGGGTAGGTGTTTCCCCCCTGCCTTCCTGCTGCAGCCACCTGGAGCCAATGTTCCACCAGGACCCACCCAGAGCCACTGTGGCAGGGCTGCCTGGCACCCTCAGGCCCCGCAACTTGGGCTCAGGGTAGGTTAGAACTGCCTGGGAGCTCTGGCATGAGCCACTTCCAGGCCCCTGGGTCCCAGGGAGCCGCAGGGACAGCGGCTCCGCATCCTACACTCATGCTTGTGACACCTTTTGCTTCCTGATCTGAGAGATTTCAGGACTCTTAAAGTATTTTCAAAATTCATTACTGTTTTGTAAAAGTGTCAAGTAAAAATGATAGTACCTTCTGTTATACAACTATAATGCAGTTACCCATAACCCATGCCTAGGCTGCCCTATGACTCCCCCGCACTGCCACCACTGCCCCGTGAGGCAGCCTGGAGGTGGCAGTGATGGCAGTGGGGCAAGGCAGCCCAGGTGCAGGCTCCAAAGCCACATGCATGGTTAACATGTTAAAAAAATTAATGTGTTAATTGGTCTTTGTGTTAACCACGCATGTTAACATCAATTAATTGACAGCCCTAATAAAAATTGTATACATATTCTTTTTTAAAGGATGATTCCAGTCATAAATGCAGTATTATTTTGTAATAAATGCAAGCATATACATGTGTTTTAGGACATTATCTTATTTTATGCGTTAACTGTATTTTGAAACATGGAGACTCGAATATTTAATGCTTGAGTTTTATCTTGATTTTAATTGGTGTTTTTATAAAACATTTCTGTTTTTACTGTTTTAAGTACATGAGAGACCAGTCTTCAAAGAAAGTCAGTATTTACAGTGCTGAACTCATGATGCTTGTGGGGGGTTGCCTGCACCTGGTTGCAGCATGGGCACAACTAGAAGTTGTCCGTGCCCAAGTCTGTTCCCCATTGGCTGCAAGTTGTGCCTGCGCTGCAGCTGGGGAGCCAAGAGGCAGAGAAGGTAGTGGGGAGAAGCAGCAGCAATGCAGGTGCAGCTTCTAGCTGCCCAGGCCCAGCACAGGCACAGACAAAGCCTTCTGGCTCCATGTGCCATATGCTGTCCACCCTCAATATAACATATTAGGAAGGTAAATCAGTCTTTGTAGGAAACATCTTGCTGAATAAGTATTGTTTTGCATTTTATTTGGGTGCAGTAACATGTAACCATATTTCAGCATTAATTTGTATAAATGTATATTGGGAACAAGGGATACAGGTTGTAGGCACTTCCATGTTTGGAACTGATCAGGGGGACACAGCCTTTTTTCTGAGACTATCCTTGTTTTAAAATGTGGTTTATTGTATGTTAATTGCCCCCATACACGTCTCTGAAACAAGATTGAAGTGTTAAAATAGTTTGAAAAGGCAACTGTTCACACCTAGAGAAAACAAACTTGGTGGATAGGGGATATTAGCTTAAAATGTTTAAAAGGGCAGAAGGGCAAGCTGCTGCTTTTGTAGATGCACACCTGTTATGGGAGCCAATAGCAGGAGACACTTCTGTTGTTCAACAGCTGCGGCTTGAGACCATCACCACTAACAAGCTTCAAATGCAACATTTCTTAAAATGCAATTATTTGAAATGCACTATAAAAATGCAAAGAACTAGCTATTTCTAGGAAATCATTGAAGACAGATTTCTCTTTCTGGCCCAGAAAATGTGTAGAAAACAGCAGTCTTTGACATTCTAGGTTAGCTATTGAAGGTTGTTCCTACTCTCTGAGGTGGTGTGCATGAAATTACAAATCTAAACTAAAATCATTTGCTTTGAACCAAAACTTCAAACCAAAAACTTTGGTTCTGATCTGAACACTGTCTACTTTGGTTCAAACCAAAACTTTGAACCAAGAAAATCTTTGTGCAAAATAAAGATGCAAAACGCATCTAATCAGAAGCTCTGCAAAAGCTAATATAGGTACACGAGTTGCAATGACTCAGTGAGTTTTATTGTCAGGATGCACAGTTTTTTCCATCTTGTCCTTCTCTCTCTAAGTCTTTGCTAAGCCCCGTGCCTTGGACTTGGGACCCGCACAAAAATAATGTGTACTTTGTATTACTCTCTTTAACTTTTCTCTGTGAAGTCCTCAGCCAGGTTTTTCAAGTTGCTTTGGTATACCATCTATAAGCACCTTTTTCAGGCATATTTTTATGATTCAAGTTTTATATTGACATATTGTTGCACTATTGAACAGAATGCTGACAAATTGTTCTTCGGTAAGGGGAGATTACTTTTAAATAGACCTACGCTAAAAGTATAGAGAAAAATCTGTTTTAAATGTTGTTTATATGACATGAGCATACTTACTTTAATAATGTATGTTGGTGTGGTTTTGTTTACAGCTTTTCATGCAGATTGAAGCACTTTTTCCAAGAAGATTTGGAACATGGAGTGAATATGCAAAAAAGTATTGTGATGCTCGTGTCAGGTACTATGATACCTGCCCCTTTATTTTTCTGTCAGTCTTGGGTTTTTGGGGCAATTTTTCCCACACAGGGAATTAATCAAAGAGTGTAATATACTGCATGTAATAGGTTCATTTTTTATACCATATTGCATGACCCAGTCTTCCACGAAAGCTAAGCTGGGGATGTTGCAGAGGAGTTGCATTGTCTATGCAATGTGGAGGAAAATTGTTTTGTTCTTTTGCACCTGATGAAAGACTTAGGACACCTTCTTTTGTTACTATACCTGTTTCTTCTGTTTCTCTTTTTAGAAACTATTATTTCATGTTCAGGACAGGATTGGACTGACCTTGGAACTTTACTCTCTGAAAGTTTTAGTAATTATTGCTGTTTCATAAAAAAAACTGTAAGCCTTCCGTGATGTCAGTTTGGCCAATCTATTAGCCCAGAGGTGAGCAAAATCTGGCCTGCAGGCCAGATCCTACCCGTGGTGGACTCCATTTCCAATCGGCCCCTGTCTGTATGGCTGCCAGCTGGTCTTCATAGAGACCCCAGGATCACAGGGCTGTGACAGCATGGGGCCAAGGCCAGAGCTGGGGCTGGGACAGAGCCCCAGTTTTGGAGCCCCATACTGTCACGGCCCCGTGATCCTGGGGTCTTCATGGAGACTGGCCGGGAGCCATGCAGGCAGGGGCTGCTGGGAAATGGAGTCTGCCATGGGCTGGATCCACCATTTTGTCCACCCCTGTATTAGCCAATATATGAAAAATCATGAAAAATCCATTGAAACAGGAAAAAATAGATCCTCTTTTAATTGCTGACCCTTGAACAACTCAAATAGTAATAGTTGCCATTTTTCAACTTCAGGGCAATTTGTAGGCAACTCTAGGGAGTAAAGAAAACAAATATTTTTAGTTAGTTTAAGTCTGGTTTTAACTTGGGGTTTCCTAATTCCCAGGTCTCTGGAAAATATATACATCCCATTCTTCAGTATCCAGTCACTTCTCAATCAGTGATATGGCACAATACCACTTAGGCATATGGAACTAATAGTCATTTTCAAGATGAAGCACTTGGGTGCAATCTAAGCCAATTATAACATTTTCAGAAGCAGGGAAGAGACTTGTGCAGTGTCAAGGGGTATGTCCACAGCTTGGCTGGCAACTGAACCCAGATATCCTGAGTTCCAATTAATTCTCCTTTTTCCTACCTCGTAGATAACTTGTTACTAAAGATGATCTCGTGCTCTTGCTCTCAGCATAATGTAAGAATAATTTTCTCTAAATGTGTTGTAAATATAAAATAAAAGGGGATGGATTACAGTTTTGGATTACCAAGAAGTTGTGGTTAAAATACCTGGTTTTGCAAAAATTAATTAATAAAACCATGTGTCAGGTATCCAGGTTTAAGTCGTATTGGTCTAAAGGAAGAAGCATTCAGGACTTGTGGTAGAAGTGATATCTTTTATTAGACCAACTAGATTGTTGCAGAAAAAAATCTTTAATTGCAAACTTTAGGGCACAAACACCCTTCATCAGGCATCGGAGAAAAGACTGTAAAAGTTCTCCTGGGTAGAAATGAAAGTTCACATTTCAGCGGAGATTTGAAGGTGGTAAAATCTCCTGTTAGGAAAAGTCTGAGCCTAATCTGCATATAAAATGAACTTTTCCAAACAGGAGATTTTACTACCTTCAAATCTCCTCTGAAATGTGAACTTTCATTTCTACCCAGGAGAACTTTTACAATCTTTTCTCCAATGCCTGATGAAGGGTGTTTGCGCCTGAAGGGTGTTTGTGCCCAAAAGCTTGCAATTAATGTGTTTTTTTTTTTTTTTTTTTTGGCAAAAATCTACTTGGTCTAATAAAAGATATCACCTCTGCCACGAGTCCTGAATGTTTAATAAAACCATGACACTCCACTGAGTGGCAAAGAAATGAATGCCTGGGGTGGTGTTGGGTTTTTGTGTTCATTGTTGGTTAGGGGTTTTTTGTTTCATCACTGCAGAATTAATGTAACTATGACTTTATACACATGCACACACATATTTGGAAACTTGAATTTAGGAGGAGAAGTTTCTGTTACATAAGGGGATCCATTTTGCCACCTAAATTTGCTTACAGTTGGATAACATTCATAAAAATTCATATTGTAAGGTTCTCCTTTCCTACAGGCCTCCTGTCTTATGTATTTCATCAGTATTATTAGACAAAGCTGTTTCATGGCATTTAAGTCAGATTTCCAGACAGAGATACTATTTTTTCCTTGGTGTTTTGACTGTGAATATGTAATTTTCACACCACAAATGTGCGTGGGATATACATTGTGGTTTGCTACTCAATTCTAGATGATTATTTTATTTTTGGAATGCCATAAATGTACTAAAATCAAACCAAGTGAAGGTTTAGCAAGCTTTTAATAAATAACTTTTAAAAATCATTGGGCTGAACCTAAAGTGTCCTACGATGAAAAGCCTGATTAATTATTTTGTGCAGTACTCTCCCTACATGCCCTTCTACTAAGATGTTCATGGTCACCTGTTTTTGAAGATGAGAGGTCCAGAGGGAGTTCACGAGTCTTCCTGCAATTTCTTAATTTAAATGCTTAAAACGACAACACATTACTGCTAATTGGGACAGAGAAAGCCCCTTCTATAGGTAGCATACATAGCATTTGAGAATTTTATTCAGGGGGAGGAGATTCAAGCAAATAGGATAGTCAGCATTTTCTTTCTGAATACAGTATCTGCATACACTGGTCAAACTTCACTAGCCCAGAAATTAGTTCCCCAAGTCAGTTCTAGACAGCAAAGTAAATTGTTGTTGATTAAAATCTGAGGAAGTATAGAATTTTATTCTTCCAGGCGTGTCCAAAACATTTCTATCTCAGGAATATGCTTACCCTGAGCATATCTCCAAAGGAAATGGAATATACAGTATTATTCCCTTTTTCCCTCTTATCTCCTGGCAGGCATGATAGAAAGGGAAGAGAGGAGGAAACTGAGGAGAAAGATGAAAGGGGTACTGAGTGGGTAACTTCCTGTACTCTTGTCTGCTCATAAATATTACTAAGAGGGTTTTAAAAGTGATAGCATTTGAAGTATGGACAAACATAGATTTTAGCTGCTTATTAGGACCAGACATCAGCTGTTGTGATCAGATTTATGTCTGCATGATCTTGTAGTGAACCAGGTTAGCTAAATCACTCCAACTTTGACCCTAAATGAAGCAAGTGGAAAGTTGGAGCAGTTTTGCTCCACTTGTATCACTATGGCATCCTTCAGACATCACAGTTGCATCATAACAGCATGTAGGAGTGCCCTTTGATATCGATTTGATTGTGTCTGTCTGGACGTTTGGAGACCCAGAGGTTCCCTGCTAGCTAAATTTTTCAGTGGCTTAAAGGAAATGGATTCACTAAAGCCCTTGGTGAGAGTAATATTTTTCTTAACCATTTTGTCAGCCTTTGGAAATTCTCAAGGCAGTTACAGGAGTAGAAACACGCATGGTGATCATCATCCTTTGTCCTGGCCATGCTGCAGTTACAGTGCTGTATGGTTGATAAAGTATTGCTTGTTGATTCACAATGCACTTAAGACATAGTTCTGTTCTTCTTTTTCAACTATGGTAAATCAGCATTTTAGCATTCATGGGATGTGTAGGGTTGTCTTGATGCTACTATGTTAATTGACTGTTCCCCTGGCTAACTGCCTCTTTGTTATAACGTTAGCTAGTATTACATTTTAAGGTGTACTCATCACAGTACTCTTTTCATAAATATACGGGTTTATGCATTTTTTCTATGCACAGAAAAGGAATTTTTAAGCAACTTGAACCATGACCTTAGATTTTCTTCCCCCTACATTTTCTGTCACTACCTATCCTTTCTCAGTCAGGAAAAAGCAGTTTAGGCAACACTTGAGGATTCCACTGGGAGAGCCAAACTCAGCCACCGGCTTCTTTCTCCTCACTGTAGGAATTCCCTGGGCAGAGGACGTGGTTTTGGGGCAAGGCTTGTTTCACTGCTAATCTTACCTTTTCATTCTCAGGTTTTTTGGTAAAAGAGCTCAGTGGGATTGCAGAGGGGCTTCAAACTTGGATGAGTTGCACCAGCTGTTAAGTAATATAATGATCAGACGCCTAAAGAATGAAGTTTTAACTCAGTTGCCTCCCAAAATTAGACAGCGTATTCCTTTTGATCTCCCAGATGCTGCTGCAAAGGTAATGATTCTTATTTAGTTTTTTTAATGATCTAGCACACTTATTGCTAGCAGTAATATCTTCCTAATTTCCCTTTTCTGTCTGAACTATTTTAATGATTATATTTTACATAACTCATGTTTTTTACATGCACATGCATGGGTGCAGAGAAATCTCTTTCACAAACCAAAAAGTAAAACAATGAGATATAGGTCTTATTAGAATGAATTTGTTGTGGCCCCATTTTTACCAATGGGAGGTGAATGAGTATGAACAATTAAGTGCATCCTGTAAGTCATGAAAATCATTACCTAATATACCACTTTTCTGTACATTCCATACACAAATGCTATATTAGAAAGTTTGGGTTCAAGTATGTTGTTTGAAGTATGTAATGAAATATATATTTTTACTTGTATGCTTCTTATAGTATGGATCTACCTAAGTTGCAGCGAACAAAGGGGATTTTCATGGGATGCTTATAGCTCCTTGCCACTGGCCAAGTGTGTTGTGGAGCCCTGCCCTTGTCACTGATTGGTGGAGAGGAATGGGGGCTATGCAGTGGGCAGCGCTTTCAGCCAATCAGCAGTGGGGGGAAGCCATCATCTTGGCTGCTCCCCTTTGTGCTGATGGCTTTGCCCCGCCTGGGCAGACTGCGAAGCCAGGGCCTTGTGTTTTCCTGATGCTCCTTATACATGTGTTATTTAGAACCCTTTTTTTCCCCAATATGTATTTTAGGGAGAAAGCTCTTATCCTTTGATATATAACGTTAACAGAGTAAGCTTTATTTTTACCCACAGCTTATTATAGGTTTCTATAATTGGTAGGTCCATCACATGTTCCTATCTCTGCACTGATATTTACCTCTGAAGAAGCTGGATATATTTTGCTTCTTCCCTTTCCTTTTTGTAGTAGACATGCTTCACAGAAGCATTAATTGTTCTGCCTTTTATACTGTCTCTCTAAATGTTCTTTTTCCTTCTCATTCAGGAATTGAATGCCAGTTTTGAAGATTGGGAGAAATTAATGAGGTCTTCAGATTCAGATGCCACTGAAAGTCACTTTGTTCAAATCATGGGTCTAATTACACGCATGTATAAACAGACTGCCATTGCCAAGGTAAACCTTGGAATCTTCATTTAACTTACTTCAAATAATTGTTTTATTTATTTATTCTAGTTTTATATTATATTTCCATTCCCCAGTCACTGTTAATTAAGTAGCTATGGGTCTTCAAGCTGCTTTACATAATTGGTACTGTTGGACAGTTGTATAGTCTTTAGTTTCATAGAATCATAGAAAATTAGGGTTGGGAGGGACCGTAGGAGAGGTCATCTAGTCCAACCCCCTACTCAAAGCAGGACCATCCTCAACAAGACTCAGATGTCTTCAGTTTCCTTAACCCTCCCCAACTAGATCCCATATGTCTTAAGTTTCCTCAACTTAAGACATTTTTGTTAAAGGTAGCTAGCTAATTTGCATGAAATGTTCTTCATGACTTGTGATCTCTCTACTTTAAGAACAAACTATAGCTGTTTGGCAGCTATTGATCCTCTATAATATGGTGTACACATAAGAGGTCTAGTCAGATGCCTGATGAATCCATTTGGGCTGACAAGCCCAATTCAAGAGTGACAGCTTATTACAAGTTTCACAGATCCATATATTGTCTGAGTTAGAGTCTGAGCATGCTGCTTTCTTCTTTCTCACTTTGCTTCCATCCTCTGGATCAATGCTGCTTCATGTTGAGCTGCACCTAGTGCCAAATGTTCCCTCCAAATCAAACAGGGTTCTGCATGCTCCTCCAGCTTTCTACACTGATGTTGAATGACTTCATATCATTTTTGCGCACATTATGGTACCGCCATCGAGAACGACCCTGTTTTCTAGAGCCATCTCAAATCTCACTATACAAAGTATTCTTGGGGATATGGTCTCCTCCCATTCTCCTGACATGACAATTCCATCACTACCTCCTCTTCTTGATAGTGGTTTTGTCCACTATATATTCCAATACCTCTGTGTTTGGTATTTTGTTTTCCAACTTTATTCTGTCTAGCTCAAAGATAAATTAGCAAAGTATTTTGACTGAGTTCAGAGTTCTAAAGCTGATGGAATTATTATTGAATGATGATCAAGAAGAAGACTACTTTCCGGTTATAACATATCTGAGTTCTGCATTAAATGTCTTGTCTTACCATTGGTCCCAATCCCTGTCTTGACTTCTGTAAAGAGTCAATTTTGCTGATTTGTTCTCACTAAGACTCCCCTCCCCTCATATGTTTGCAGAATCCATTGTCCTTTTGCTTTTCAGTGTTTTTCAGCGATTCCTTCATTTTTTTTCAGAATAAACTTACTTTGTAGGCTAAGATCTTGTGCCCATGATTTTTTTTTCCCAGACATTTTCAGTTTTTAGCTCTTTGCATCAGATGTAATGCTCTTCTTTGTGGTTTTTCTCTTTTTCAGTGATGATGATGTCATGGTATGAATTAATGAAGCTGTCTTGCATAATGCTCATCTAGCATTGTAAAATTGCAGATCTGCTCTTTTCATAGTCCTGAGCATTACATTTTCAATAACTTGGTATGATGTTAACTCTTCTGCTTTATTTAGCAGAAAAAATGACAGGTTTTAAAAAATGTTTTTTTTTTTGCTTTTCTTCCATGGTCATCCAGGTCCACAGCTAGTACTTTGATTATAGATGGCTTAGGAATAGGGTGGGAAGCCCACCTGGTCCACCTATAAATGCAGGGGATGTGGGCTCAGTTTTTTAGGAGCCTTATTCTTGCTTAAGAGCACTGAACTCACTTTAATATCAGTGGGGAGTTTGGTGCCTAAGGAGTTGGGCACCTATCTCTGAGGATTTGACTTTTTGGTCTGGAGCACAAAGCTATTGGGCTAGTTTTACATGTCTTGCCATCTGTTGTTCAGAAGTCCACAGCGCAGAGCCTGACAACACCCGTCACGTGTTATATAAACTTTCAGTTCCTTTGTGCATGGAATCCATCAAGCTGTGGACATGGTGAGAACAACACAAGTTACCTCTGACTGATTGCTCTTCACCTCCTGGGCTCTAATATCAGCCTGGCAGATTGCCTCAGCGATACACAACTCATGAGTGGTCGTTTCAGAAGTCTGTCAAAGAGCCAGTATTCCTGTATTTGGAGTGCCTGGTGATGGAATTTTGTGCCACTGATGTTAATACCATGTGCCAGAACTTTGGTTTGACAGGAGATATAAGTCTGGAGTTGTACCTTGATGCCTTGTTTATATTTTTCCATCAGCCTCTCAAATTCCTAGGATGATTTTCCAAAATCAAAGATGACAAACCCACAATAAGGCTCAGAGCTTGATGTTGGCTGAAGCAGCTCTAACTGACAAATATCTGTCCAGTCTCTGAACCAGCTCACAGACTGTGTACATTTCATTACAGAGCACTGCAGCTAGAGCACTTCCAGACCCAAAGTCACTGCTCCTCACGTGCTGGCTGGTTAAGTACCACAGATACCACAGATTCTTGCTACAGATCAGGGAAGTTTGTGTCTACTAGAAAAAGTATTCAACTGAAAGCAAGATATTCTCAATATAGGCTGCACAACCTGAACCTATGCCTCAAGACCACAGATTCTTAACTCTCTGTTGCACTTAGGCTAGATTCTCATTTGCCTGTTTTAATGTCCACCTTGTGATAATCCCTAGTGGTCAGCCATCCTTTGGGGTCAAGGAGACTGACATGAATTTGCTTTGCTCAGTGTCCAAGTTCCAACCGATCACTATTGTGTAATTTAGCTTCTGTATAAGAGAACAATTCATTCTAAATGGCCTTTTCAAGGTGCAGCTTTCTACAGTCTCAACTTGCCATCCACCTGTGTACAATTATCCTCGGGCTGTTCTTCCCCTAAGTATGGAACGGTGTGTCTGTATTTCAACGTGAATTAACCCTATGTGAGCCAGAATACTTATGGTACCCATGCTAGCTTGTTTAATAATAACTTGGATAGCTCTTCACTAAGCTGCTGTGTGCTGTCTGAAAGAAATGGAAGCTTTTCAAAGGGAGAAAATCACCACCAGTTGAAGAAACCAACTGCTGCCTACAATCTCAACTAGTTATCTTGTGCCATGTGGAGCCTGCATTCAGACCTTCAGACTGTTCCTTGACCTCTCTCTGAAGACAGTGAGTGTACTGGGGAACTAGGACTTTGTAAAAGACAGGTTCACTGGAAGGGAGGGTAAAAGAACAAGTACACCTTTCAGGAGAAGAGAAGAACATTGCTGGGATATTAAAAGCACTGACCAGAATCTAAAGGGCTCTTAGATTAAGGCAAAAACTGAAGAAGAGTTTCACGTGCAAGTTTTTAATACTTTTGCCATAGATCTGTCTCTCTTTTTATGTGGTGTCTGTGAGCAAGGGGTGTGAGGGGTTTAGCAATACCTTTGCAAAGTTTCTGTACCCCTTGCTTCTGTGATCGTATAGTCACCAAAGGAGTAAATAAATTGGAGGCTCTCCAGCTTTGAGAGTGAGCAAGAGCTGCTGGGGCAGCTTGGGAGCACTGGCACTAGTTCCAGGACTATGCAGCCGAACAGTGAAGTCTCATTTCTCAGGGAGGGGTGCTAGACAGAAGATCTGTACTCTGAGTGTTAAACGGCCTAGAGCCTGAGATGTTGTTTAGACTCTGCTCAGAGCCTCTAAGCCAAAAACACAGGATTCAGTGTGGATCCTAGTATAGCAATCTGGTAAGAGCTGTAAGAAAGTGCAAGATTTTGGTGGGTTTTGTTTGTTCCCCGCCCCAAGCATCTGTCTTTATGCTTAGATTGGTTATTTGCAGATTGTCAGAGCTATAACAAGCTAAGGCTTTGTGTTCTCTCCTTTGCAACAGCTGCTCCAAACTAAACATTTTCTGGCTAACTTGCTTCTTGTGACTCTGGAAATAATGCAAGCTTGTGTCATCGCCTTAGGTAGGAAGGTGGAAATGAACTCACAAATTCCTTTCAGGTTTAAACAGTGCTGGTTGATAGTAATCCTGCTTGTCAGAGCAAATGAGGAGGAACTCCATGTGGTCTATGCTTTTCAACGGGTGTACAAAACATATTGGCAAGTAAACAGGGGGAGATAATTTTGCTGTCTTATTGTACAAGTGTAATGCCAGGTCTTGTATTATGTTTTCCTTTATTCCAACATGTCTTATTCCTGCCTGCCATGGTGTGAAAGAGAATATGAACAGATGGCATGTTTACAACACTAATTTGGGTTAACATTTCTTAGTTGAGTACAGATTTACTTTGAAAAAAGCATATAGTAAAACTCCTTCAATGTAAGTTACATTGGTTTAGGTGTCATCTATCTTCAGTTTATCTTGATGGAGTCATTTGCTCAAGGCAAACAAGGTTCTTTAGTACTGGCTACCCTGCCACCTCGTGACAAGGTGTGGTAACAGCATCCTGCTGTCTTTACTTTCCTAGGATTAGCAGCTTCTCTTATATATTTACTGTAATTTACACTAGTATACAAAAGCAATATTAATTGTACAAGGGTACATGATCATCTGGTCGATCATTTCCTGTTAGCTACTCCACAAATTGCCGTCCTAGGCTTCAGCCACTGAATATCTAGATATCTAAAAGACAGTGACAAAACTCGCAAAGCTTAAATCTTGAGGTATCTAGGTACATTGTATGGCATCCAGTGCTGAGAAAGTGAATCCATGATACAACTATTTCCAAGTTCTTTATTCCTCAAACTACCATCATGTTAAACACCCCCTTTCACAAATCTTTACAAAAGGCGTGAGCCTTCTGGTTTATGCTTCATGTTTTTCATAAGCAGACAAGGTTCTTTGAGTGAATCTGATATCTTTTATTAGACCAACTTAAATAGTTGGAAAACAATTATTAAGCAAGCTTTCGGGTTCAAAAACCCTTCGTCAGGCTAAGGTTTTTCATAAGGAATGTGTTAAGTAAGAGCAAACACGCGTACAGATAAGCTTTGCAGAGTTTATCAGCACACCCTTGCTTTTACTTTGAAGATAAAGCACAAGGCTTCACGCGAAAACAGCAAGTTTTCTAATGAAAACTGCAGTGCCCTTAAGTGTACCTCTCATTCCTTTAGATGTCCCAGAGTATTTCCTAAGGGAAGTAGACAGCACACAGTATGCTTTCCCTGACCTTGGTTCTGCAACTATACCAGTCCCTCTCACAAAAGCTAACTCAACTGTTTTCCCTCCTGTCCAAAGCTTTCAATACATTTCCCTTTGTCTTTCACTTGTATATCATCTTTTTTCAACTGTTATAGTTTTGCTGCTGCTCAGTTTTTCAATGCTCTAAAATCTGGCCTCTGCAGACATCTGCCCAGGCTAATTCGCCAACATCTCAGCTAGCTTGTTGTCCCAAGGTATTCTAACTCATGCCCCATGCAGACATTCAGTTTCTCCTGGGAGAGTCAAACTTGCCCCTCACTTCTGTGCTCAGGGAGATCAGGGTCTGACAGTAGGGGGGAGAAGGGGAGGGGCAGCAAGGGGAAAATGTTTGCGGGGGGGGGCAGGGGGCGGTTGGTAGATGATAAAGGGGCTCTCTCTCATGTATTTTCCCTGTTTAGCAATGGAAGGAGGACAAAATCAAGGTAGATCTCCAAATTATAACCAATTCATAAATTTTCCATATATAGAATGTACTTGTTAGGGTGTCATCATATAATCACGGTTATCTTGTATTTAGGGAAATATGGTAAGTATTTCAGTAGCTGTGTTTGAGACTCTTAAACAGCATGGGCATTTGTTGCTGGAAATACTTTGAAAAAGAATAGATACATTATTTACGCAGAAAGGAACCATATATAAAGTTTTGTGACTCAGCCACACTACTATGGCAACATGGCTGGAGTTTAACTAGGAGCTTTAAATTTTAGCATTAAAAAAGCTTAAGATTCAGTTGCAAAATACTTGAAAACCTTTGTAACTATTATGCATTTTCATAATTTTATATAATTACAGGCTGGTAAAAATATTACTCATTGGTATTTTCTGTTGTTGAAAATCCAAAAATAAGTTAATTGAATATATTTTATTCAATTTGGTGACTAGCAAAAGCATTATGACTGTTTTTAGTTATATATATATATATACACACACACCAAAGAAGTAAAAGAAGTTTTAAGCTTTACTCTTTATTTTTAAAAATTAAACTTATTGCCATCTCCTTACTTTTTTTAAACACTGGGGACATAGAAGTTCACCCAAGATCTTAACAAGAACCACATTATAACATCTATATATAATATCTCATGTATTTCCACATGTCTAAAATTTGAAAAGCATGTTGGAAATGCACATGGAAATATACATGGAGAAAATCAGGAAGGCCAAAAGGGGCATAAAAAGAAAAAAAAAAAGTTATTCTACAGGTATGTTAGAATAAGAGGAAAACCTACAAGTAAAGTGTAGCTTCCTTAGTGAATGAAGAGGGCAGTATAATAACAGATGATCCAGAGAAGATTGAAGGATTTTGTCTCGATCCATAATTGATTGGATCATTCTGCTTAAAGAGAGGGTGGCCATCACTAGCTCGATATCCAACTGGAAGGAAGTGTTGACTGGCATTCCCCAGGGTGTGTTCTGGGTCTGGTACTATTGGAATTCTTCATAAATGATTTGGAGGATAGAACTGAGCTCATGCTTAGCAAATTTGTAGAGGATACCAACGGGTGTGGAGTTGCATACACTTAACTTGACTGTCACTTGCAAGTCAGCTGAAGTGATTTGTTTGCTCTGTTCAGCTCTGGTAAGATCTGATCCTGCAGTATTGTGTCAGTTCTGGGCACCATACTTTAAGAAAGATGTGGGTAAACTGGAGAGAGTCCAGTGGAGAGCAACAAATGATTAGACATCTGGAAGACGTGAGTCATGAGAAGAGTTTAGAAGAACTGGCATTATTTAGTCTGGAGAAGAGAAGACTGAGAGGGATTTTGGTAACTTTCTCCAATACCTGAAGGGTGCTTATGAAGTGGATGGTGATAGGTTGTTCTTGGCTGCAGAGGACAAGTTAAGAAATAACTAGCTTAAACGGTGACACTTGGGTATTTAGGAAAAGCTTTCTTATTTTGAGGGTAGCTAAGTGTTGGAACAGATTACCTATAGATAATTCTCTGTACTTGTTATAGATTCTCTGTACTTGGAAGTTTTTAAGAGCAGGTTAGACAAACACTTGTCAGGCATGGTTTAAACGGGGATGATTCTGCCGTGAGCAGGGTGTTGGACTAATTTAGATTACTTCCCAGTGACACTTCCAGACCTATTTTTCAACAATTCTCTACTTCTGATCTCAGATTCTGTAATCCTTGTATCTTATACGCAGGGTGTTTTATACACTAGAAAACTTGGTAACTGTTCCTAACTGCCTTTTTACCGAGCAACTATTAAGTTATTCCTTTAGTCTTTAGTGCTAAAGACATAGGTACCTTGTTGTTTCTTTAAAATAGATCTGTGATACAGATCACTTGACTGTCAACATATGTTTAAGATATCCAGAGATGTCATCTTAAGTTAAATATTATTTAACATTGCATTTTTAAGTTTAATAAACACTTTGAACTGCCAGAGCAATCTTTTCTACTTCTAAAGGACTTGTTCATTATCCTAAGGTGATATCTAGAAAGGCATTTTTCCCTATTAAAATGCATAATTTGTCAATAATTTAATATTTACAAAATCAACTGATCATATGACAAATAGGAAAATAATTTTCCCCATACAAGGTGAACTTATGTTCATATTTTTGCCATCATGGGAAAAGGAGGTATTAAAGCAGAAACTGTCACTATTGCTGTATGGTAATTTTGAGGTGATGTTGCTGTGATGGTTCAGGAGATATGCGAGAGGCAAGAATTCTTGTGGGTAATATCTTGTATTGGAGCAACTGTATGGTTGGTAAAAGCATTGGCAAACTTTCAGGTATCACAGTACCCTTCTTCAGGTCTCTGAGTCAGAAGCAGACACATCTGAGCTAAATAGCAGCTGGAACAAAAGCTTAAGTAGGGTCATTATCACCTGTGAAGTCCAGGGATAAGATTATAAGTGACCACAAAGTCATTGTCTATGTTAAGAGTTGATCCATTAAAATACAGCACCCACAAGGATTCTTGCCATGGTTACATTTTTGTATTCTCTATAGAATTAATAAAATTGCACAATTTCTTGTGCTGTAGGCTGGAGCAGTAAAAGACTACATCAAAATGATGCTTGAGAATGACAAACTTAAGTTTCTGGTTTTTGCTCACCACTTAACCATGCTCCAGGCTTGTACAGAGGCAGCCATAGAAAACAAGGTAAATCTAAGTGATTTGTTCTTTATTGCTTTAGATTTAGGTCCTAGTCCTACAAAAATTTAGCCAGTTAGTAGCTTTTTGTAGGATTAGTTGTGTATGTAGTTATTCATAAACTTAAATATATGTGGGATCAGCAACACAATATTCAGATATCTTATTTGTAGAATATTTTATAGTGTTTTGGGAAATAATTTTAAACAATGCAGTCTGGATCATTCTATTATCAAAGGGTAGCACCTTTAGATTATTGCTTAAAAAAAAAAATCCATAAAGAAAGTACTGTAATACTTCTATAAAATGGTGGTGGTTTAACATTCTGTTTCGTTCCAAATAATAATGGCAACAAAAACAACACACTTCTTCTGTAGTGCCAGCTATTTTGAGATTAGGCATTGCTTTACAAACATTAATAAATTAATTGTATCTTACTGAACTGTAGGTAAAATTATTCCCATTTTATAAAAGGAGTGAAGTACAAAACTACTGAATAGTTTGCATGTGGTCCTGATTATAGGAATGGAATGATTTCTTGTTTTCCCAGTATTTTAGCATCATTTTCTGAGAGTTAATTTTACAAGTAACATTACTGTTGCCATTCTTTTGGAATTGTACAGGCTCGGTACATTCGAATTGATGGAAGTGTTCCTTCAGCAGAAAGAATACATCTTGTTCATCAGTTTCAGAAGGATCCAGATACCCGTGTAGCCATTCTGAGCATTCAGGCTGCTGGTCAAGTAAGATAAAATCAGTGAAGGGGCCAGGGGTAGAGCACATATTAATGCACTTTGAAGTAAGAAATTTAAAAATACCAAGCATACACATGCTATTATATCCATGAAGGGTGAAGATGTTTTACTGCAGGCAACCTATCAAATTAAGCTTTTCTAGACTCCTTTGTTTGTTTTCACATCAACCATAAAATTAGTACAGCACTTCATCTGAAATTATTTCAGTAGAACCAAGCCAAAAGAGTCATCCGGTATCTGAATAATTAGTAGGAGTTCAGTATTTCTTTAAAAAACCCAACACCCTGCTTTTCACTTTTATCTTCTTGGGAAGTGATATAGAGCATTTACACAATATTACAACTTATTTTGCTTCTCATTAATATTTTACATGATTTCTATTTCATGTTGCTGTGGGTGCATATATTTTAGTTATGTTAATAAGTCTTGCATCCATTTTCAGCACTTAAATTAGTGGTATTTTACACGTGTTGTGGGTTACGGTTTGCTGGAGCAGCCATTAAATAAACCCTGCCTTTTTGGAAACCAAAGTACAGATCCAAAAAGGGACATGGCTAGTGCAAAGCTGAATACTCAGCTCCTAACCGCTGGCACCTGACCCCCATTGTAGAATACAGAACCTGGGTGGCAAACTTAGGCAATAAGGAAAATGAGGTGCCTTGGGCTGAGATCCACAAAAATCAGCAGACTGAACAGGGAGCCATGTAAAGTCAGCACGTTGACTCGGGAGTTACGTAAGGTAGCCAACAGGAAAACACTGAGGGCAGACAATTCTTCAGGCCCTGTCACATGGTCAAATTAAAGCTGGGTGGAGATTGGCTATAAAGTTGTTACACATTTTCAAGCACTAGCTCTAGCTGGCTGGCTCTTTTATAGCTGGATGGACATTTTTATGGCATGAGAATTACTTTATATGCATGGCTGGTCTAAATTTATTGCACAGTTAACCAGCTAACTGGATGATAATTACTTTACACGTGTGGCCAGTGTTAATGTATTGTGTGATTAACCAGTTAATTGCATAATCTATGCAGAAGTTCAGTGAGCCAGGTCCAACTAAGACACTGCATGTGTTGGGCTTGGCACAGGTTTAAAGTGCGCCGAGTTTAAAGTAAAGCACCATTTTTTGGTTTTGGGGGTTTTTTAACATCTACAAGCAGCCTTTATCATTTTCTTTAAAAAAAAAAAAAAAAAAAAAAGCATGATTCACTCTCTTTCAGCCATTCTTTAAAAGAGGAGGATGTGGTGGTGATGGTTCTTACCAATAGCTCAGTGGTTAAAACTTTCACCCAATATGTAGGAAATCTGGGTTCAGTTTTCTCCCCTGCCTGAAGTGCTTCAAATCTACCCCTCCCTAGAGAGTGCCACATCTATAAACTACATATAGTTTAATGGGCATCCTCTTTCCTTCTTATTGAAGCTGTGTCACTCTACAAGAGCGAATTTAGATTTTATTAGACCAGAGAGTGTCAGAGCGAGTATGACTCTAAGCTTGTGGTTAGATGATTCACAGGAGTGAGTGGTAACTTGGTTCCAGCTACTGCTCCAAGGACTATATACTGCAAAATGTTTCTATTGCTGACCTGTTGGAAATGATGTGATTACCTTTGTCTGTCTTTTAAAAGAAAGCTATGGTCACCACTGCATTTGCAGAAAACCTAATCTGAGCACCTACTGGATTGATCCCTCCTGAGGGAAGTAGCTGCGATGGAACTGGTTGGTCCTGTCAAGACTGAGCTAAGATTAAAAGCAATACTTTAAGCACCTGGAAAACTTTAAGGGTGAAGTACCTTTGGAGTTTCCATGTCTCTAGGGTACAGGTGTTTTGAGAATCGCAATGTTTGCCTTGAGCACCTAAATTATATTTAAATCCCATTTTGGATGTTTAAAAATACATTAATCAATGGAAATCTGAAACATCTGTCTGGGTGTGTTATTTCAGAATGTTCTACATAATTTGGGATCATAAGGAAGTAGAAAAAATTGTGGCAATTCCCTTTCGCCGTTCTGTCATTTTATAACATTTTCTTGTCCATTTGTAAAGTCATATTGTCTCTCTCTTACTTTTTAGAAATCAATTAATCTAATTGCTAATTTTGTCTAGGGTTTAACTTTTACTGCTGCCACTCATGTTGTGTTTGCTGAATTATACTGGGACCCTGGACACATAAAGCAAGCCGAAGACAGGGCACATCGAATTGGACAATACAGTTCTGTAAATGTGCACTACCTTATTGCAAAAGGAACATTAGATCCCCTCATGTGGGCAATGTTAAATCGCAAGGTACTTGCTGGAATAGAGCTAAGTGATCAACAATGCGTTTTATTTGTGTCAGGAATCCACAGCTTCTATGGCATGCATCTCTGAGCAGTGCCCTTGGAGGATTCTTACATCTGGGTCACTGTCCTGCTATTAAGATTACCAGGTCGATCAATTTGTGTTTTTATTGCAGGATGACCATGCTTATTCTAAGCTAGCTTTTTTTATCCCTTCTGCTTTTCTTGTAGCCCTGTACAGAAACGTTATTATTATATAATGGCTGTGTTTGATACGCATTTTGCTAATCTTTGTGACCTGGGGTTTTTTTTTAATATTAATCAGAATATGTGGGTTTGCTTTACTGTCACAATTGATCTATATTAGTTCTGCTCCCAGAATAAGCTTCACCTATGTGCATAATTAAAGCTTTTCAGGAATAGAAAAGGCTGCTGAATATTCTTAAATGTACAGATCCATCTTCTTCATCTCCAACTATGAAAGTCTTAAGAAGCTAGGTGCTATAAGTTTCATTGCACAATTCCCTTTAATTGTAACTCTATTAAGCCCATTTGAAAAATCTCAGTATTAAATTGGAAACACTTAAAGCCTACTCCTGGAGAATTGTCTCAGTATCTGTTCATCATTTCTCATCTGGGGATTCCTTCACTGAATGAGAAATCAATAGTTAAGTGGGGCTAAGTGAAAGAACAGTTATCTGCTCCAAAGCCAGTTTAGTGCATCTTTCATGGTCTGATTATCAAAGTTGGAACCTGGCCTAGGAGTCCAGGCTCAGTAGCCATGTTTGTGTCAAGGGCTTTTAATTAAACTGACTTCCTTCTTGCTGATATTATTTTGTAGTTTTTATTTTGTTGATTATTATTATTTATCTATATTTAATCAAGAATAAATTAGCACATTTCATTATAGTGGTTCAATTCTGTCTTGCATGTGTTATGGAAAGTCCATTTCCAAGAAGAATTACGTAGAACTGTATGTAAAATTACCAAAGAGTTTGCAGCCTAAGGGTACAAGCAACATTTAACACACATTTATTAACCTAAATAAATATTAATTTCAATGTAGTAAGCTGTCATACATTAGGAGATTTGTTCTTGTTACTGTGTTAGCTGTGGATTTTGATTAGCGAATTGGTAGGAGTATTGGGTCTTAGGTTTACAGGTTTTTAATCCTGTTATAAATATTATTCTTTGAATTAGTAAGTGATATTCTTCCCCTTACAACTACTAAGTTATGTTTAGAAGAAATAACTCTTGGATAATTGCACATTTTCCAAATTATGAATTAAGGAAACTGTTATGTATTCTCCTGACTGCAGGCCAAAGTTACAGGCAGCACATTGAATGGTAAGAAAGAGAAATTACAGGCTGAAGAAGGTGATAAAGAAAAGTGGGATTTCTTGAGTTTTGCTGAAACATGGACCCCAAATGAAAGTCTTGAAGAGATGAAGAATGAAGTTTTATTCAGTCATGTAAGACTACACAGATTTGTATATTTTGTTATGATCTTGTAAATTAGTTCTACTATCTAACTGTAAATTGGGCTTCTAATTAAATATTAAACTGACCTGTGTGAAAAGAATTAAGTATAAGAAATGACCTTTTAACTGATTAGTTGCTTTTGTTTCTTCCTGTCACTGTTACTTTTTTTATACCAGTCCTTTCTTGTTCATGTTTCTATTTCCCCTTGTCAGAATAGATGGATCTGAGCCAGAATGAGTCTCATACTATCTTAGTGAACCAGTGAAGCTACTAAGAATATCATCTCAAAGAAGAGGTGCCATCCCAAAACACATTCAAAATTAAGCTAAAAGTGATCAAGAATATGCAGTTAGGTCAGCCTACATTCTCATTAGTGCATGATGGTTTCCAAGTCTCTTTTTTTTTTTTTGTCCTGACTTAAAAGGGCTCTTACTGCTTAAATTTGCTTTGTTTATTGCTAGTGATAAGTAGCTTAGCTATCTATGCTTACAATTAAAGTTGGCCAAAGTATATCTCTACCAAAAAAAGTCTCACTCGAAGCCCCTGGATGTGGTACTTTTGTAAGACACATGCTCAGCTTCCCTTACATGATGTCTAGGCATACTGTTCAGTATATGCTGTGTCTTGGTCAGTAAAGAGCTTAAGTGGGGCTCAATGAACTGGGCCTGGGCATACTTGGAAGAACATGGTACTGAGGACAGTGACACACGTGGTACCAACTAAGATATTTTGGAAATTGTGTTTGTTGTTAAATATAAACAGATAAACTCATCATTTCATGAACAAAAATGGTTTTAATAATATAGTAGCTTCCTAAAGCTACATATTCCTGGTGTATGTTCAAACAATTGATATTTCCTTCATGCTCAATTTGAGGAGGGATGAAGGAAAAGTAAATCTTCCAACACCTAGTATTTCAAGAAGAAAAGTTGTAGAGCTTCCTAAACAATGCCTAAGTCTGGAAGAAAATTGCGTATGCAGAAACTTATCAATTATATCAGAGCTCTGTAGTGAAAATTGTTACTAGAGCATGCAGGTAGGATTGCTCTCCTGTTAAGAGTATATCTGCCATCTGATATTACAAAAAAAATCCCTGCAATCTGAGTTAGAACAGATGTAAACTCCCTGCACTATATAAAATTAATATGCTCAGTTCTTCTGGATCTAAACCAACTACATAATTTTGCTCTTGATCTGCTTTCCAGTGAGTGAGCAGTTGAGAGAGCGTGTTTCAAAATTTATGAGACATTTCTTATAAACAGTTCAACTCTTGGCGGAAAATAAAACTGGAACCTCTACTTTAGGATGAATACCCTCACTCTTTGACCTTTTTTACATTTTTACAATGCTGTCATATTCCAAAGGATTCCCAAAGTATTTTGGCCATGGTTTTCCAATGTGATTAATGTTTTATTTAATCTTTACTTTTTTGTGGACACACAAAATCTTCCAACACCTAGTAGTTCAGTTAAAGAAGAAAAGTTGTAGAGCTTCCTAAACAATGCCTAAGGCTGGAAGAAACTTGTGTATGCAGAAACTTATCTAAGGGGTTCACAATTATATCAGAGCTCTTTAGTGAAAATTATTACTAGAGCATGCAGGTAGGATGCTTCAAGGGGCTTGATGTGCTTTCAAGGGGCCTAATTTTTCAGAGAATCACTTCTCTGCAAAAGCTTATTTGATAAGTATTATGTGGTCAATTTGTTAGCTTGGAGAAAATCCTTGTATTTTCTCTCTTTGCAGCTTCTGGCAGTAGCTGGTTCCTTTTAAGTGCAAGTTAAACAGCATGGCTAAGATGCTTTCTCATGATTCTAGCCTTCTAGCACATCATTCATCATTGTCTTATTTAGCTATTGTTTCTTCAGTTGATGCCACTACAACTGCCTAATATGCTACTTCTGTTTACTAAGAGTATATTTGCACTACATCATTTTATAGTGCAAAATGGTTTTGAGATATTACCTGACTCAGTTTCAATTTATTGTTACACGAGTCTTCAACAGCAAGTGGATTCAGATAGTACAACTACAGCTACTGAACCCCTGGTAGATGCTATGCAAATCCATAGTCACTACTGTGAGATTCCATCTTGGTATAATGATTTATTTCCGTCTCCCAAAGTGTACCCTGATAGAGTAACAGTTTGTATTACATATTTAGGTCAGCAAAGATACTATGAGATGGCTTGCAGTTTGACAGTGTATATAATTTTAAAGTGTTTTGTCTTCAAGAAAGTAAATAGACATGATCTGAGTGGGAGTGTACTACATCAGAAATAAACATTTTCCTTGTTTAGATATGCCTTAAAAGATATTATTTATATTTGCAGCACAGAAACCTTCAGGGACTAAAGAGCTGCTTAGTTTTGCAGATCTGCCCACTTACTGCTGCCATTATATCAAGCAAACATGTATACAATTTAAATTAAATATCTTTCTTTATAATGTATGTAATTTTAAAATAATGCATATGGCATGCCAACACTGCATTTGTTCTCCAGTGGTCTCTGATTATGCTGCTTTTATCATTCTGACTAGAATGGTGAAAATTATCTTGGTTTTTGAAAAGAGGGCTGAATTGCTTTTTATTTTCAAGTTCCTGTTATTAAAAGAGATTTTAGTTAAGTGTCCTCTAACTAAAAAACCTCATTAAAAAGAGCAAGAATCATAACTGGAAGCAATTATGTCTTTAAGGAGATAGACAGTATCCAGTTTAAGTAATTTGGGGTTTGTTCTTTTTCTAATGTTTGTTTCTCTTTTCTAGTTTGAAAAAGAAAAACAGCATGACATTCGTTCCTTCTTTTCACCAAAATCTTCCACTGAAAAAAAACGCAAAATGTCCTCTTGTGAGACATTACGGGATTTTACTTTAGAATCTTCTACAATCCGTCTGAGAGAGGACACAGAGGAGAGCAGTGGGGAAGGCGACTCCAGCAAAATAATTGACGTAGATGCAATTTGTCATGAAAATGGCTGTGAGCGTGAAGCAAAAAGGCCAAGATCTCTAGGTGTAGCTACCCAAAGCAGTTCCAGTAAGAAAATGAGTAAATCATTGTCTGAGAAAACAAACTCTTTATTTGCAGAGGAAATCAATCAAGGACCCTCTGGCAGTTCCCTGTGCAAGTCAAGCAAAAGCCCAGCATCGGACAGTGTCTGGTGTTGTACTGTTTGCACTTACACTAATAATGAATTATTACCTTATTGTGAAATGTGTGATTGCCCTCGAAATGATGATGGTAAGTGACCCATGCTGCATGTGATAGTGTGCATATTCAGTTATAATCTTGCTTTGTTTCAGAGGATACATCACTATTTTTATAAATTCAGTAAAATATGAAGAACTAAATCTTCAAATGAAGAGGAATATATATGAAATTGTCTCCTTTTTTACAAGTCCTGATTTTGGCCAGGACTATTTCTTCAAAGTTCCTATGATATGACATTAATTTGGTACAAATGGGTAGTTCTGATTAATGTCAGCAGGATGTAAATTCAATGGGCAAGCATAGAAATTCAGTTTCCATGGCAGCAGATATGACTTAAGTCATTGCTCTGCTGCTTTCTTTCCCTTCAGATGATTTATCATTATTAACAAACCAATAGAATTAGAGATTTTTTCCAGATATTTGATGCAGTTCAGATGCTTAACTTAGTTAACTAAGTGATAGATAATTGTCCTGAAACCTAACATTTGGAAGGCATCAGAAGCTTAATTTGAAATATTATTTTTCTCCCGCAGTCAAATGTTCTTTATTATATTTACTTTTACAATATTCAGGCATCCTTAAAAAAACCCCCAAGTATAAGCTCCTAAACTCAGTGCAATTTCAGTTGTGCTTTCCTTGTGGAAGAAAGTGACCCTTTTTAAAAGTTGTTTAAATGCATTTAAGAGCTACACATTTGGCTTATCATCTTTATTAAATATAATAGAATAACTTGTAAATTAAAAAAAACACTCTTAGGAAATGCCACAGCATGCTCATTGTACCACTTAAAGATTGCAGTTACTATGTTATCTATTGCATGCTTTGGGTTATTAACCTGTTTGCATGAAACGTTCTCTGTACTTGTCAAACTAAAGTTTGAATATTTGAAAATCAGTATCTGTAGATAACTTGCCCCTGAAATGGTGTTCTTGGATGACTGATATCTGTAATGGAAAAGTCACCCACAGTGTTACTAGCACTTTTGACAGAGACCAGGGAGAAAAGATAGTATAGTGTGGTTGCTGACCTGTTTGTTCATCTCAATAAGTAAATTGACTTTGTTTTATTAGTCAGGGAGACTTGCATAGTACCTGTGCAATGCCAGTGCCAAAGGAAATGTCTTTCCAGGGTCCTAAACCTGACACTACACAAACACTAAAATCACTTAGAAAAAGAACAGAAACAAAAGTAATTCTGTTGTTTCTGATTTCACAGGCATTGAGATACTTATTACAATAAAAATAATCGAGGTAAAAAGGTGGGAGGGGAGAAACTTTCCCTCTACATTTTCCTCAAAATAGCAATAGATAATTCAAGAAGTGAGCTTAAAAAATTAATTAAAATGTATCAGTGTTAACGCTCTGTGACACTAAGTATACCACATGTACTCAAATCAAAGCTGGCCCTCTATTTAAGATGACCCCTCACAATAATTAGATTCTATATATTGAAAATGTATAAATTTGTTATAATTCAGCAGGTATCGAATCTAATTATCAGAAGTCTCTGCCTCTCTCACCACCAGTCTCCCCCTTACTGCCAGATGCTGCTGGAGCTCTGTTCCCTCCCAGAGCACAGCTCATGGAAGAGCGCCCCCTGCCAGCCATGCAGCAATGATGACACTGCTGACTAGCCAGGCAGGGGACAGTTTCCATGTGCTCTGTGCCCTGTAGGGAACCCAGCCTGAGCCGGAGCCAAATTGTGCCTGATAGTAAGGGGTGGGAATGGGGCAGAGTTGGGGCAGAAGCTACAGAAGGCAAGCAGAGATGGGATACGAGGCTGCTGTGAGTCTGACTCTGGGCCTGAGCCCAGGTTGGGGCCAGAGTAAGAGCCTCAGCATCTGTCTGCCTCTGCCCCCTCCACTTAGTAAACAAGTCTAAAATGAGGGTGATGATTGCAAGCGGGGCAGGCGGGGAACCTAGCCATAGATTTGTGTAAATAAAGGAAGATACTGAGTAATTTTCTACACTGTACACCTAAACTTCAACTCTGATAGTATATTTGCTTCAAAGAGACATTTAAAAATGAACTATATAATTTGTGAAATTATCTGTAAATGTTCAACTTAACTAAAGTTGGTCGTTCATTTTTATAGCAGAATCTTTTCAAAATTAACCATTACATGCTTATCATCAAATTACAACTTGAAAAACCTACCCTTTCAAATATAAGTTTTATTATGCCAAATATATTCCTTTTATATACCTGTCTCTGTTCATGGAAGCTAAGTCTTAGGGCCCTGCTACATGTTCAAATTAAGGCTGGATAGAAACCAGCTATTGAGTTTTCCCCATTTTCAAAGACTAACTTCGTAGCGGATTGGTTCTTTTTATAGCTGGATAGATTTTTTTATGGTATAAGAATGACCATTTATAGTTGCATGTGTGGCTGGTCTAAATGTATTGCATGATTAACCAGTTAATTGTGTTGTAATTACTTTGCATATGTGGCCAGTGTTACTTTGCACATGTGGCTGGTATAAATTTATTATGTGATTAACCAGTTAATTGAGTCATATATGTAATGTGCATCACGAGCCTAAATGATCACTTTATTTCTTTAATTATAGTTAAAAAGAATATAGATCAGAGTAACCCTCTGTCTACCCAGAATGAAGGAGAAAATGCATCAAAGAACTCTAGAAAATGCAAAGATGCAGTGGTATGCAATACAGATGATAAGAGGGAAGACCTTGTACAAACAGCAAAGGAGCCATCTGATAAAAATGTGGAAGAGGTAGCCAATGCAGTTGAAAACGAATCTGAAGAGAGTAATCAAAAGCTTAAAGAAGGTAAAGGAAAATAGAATTCCTACTATAGCAAACCTACCCCATCAAATCTGTGAAATAGCATTAAACACAAGCTCTGGGAATGCAAAACAGTTTTAACTAAGTGTAGAAAACCGTATATTTGAAACATGCTTCAGCCTATGCACGTAGACTGCTGAATAGGCAGCTGTGTTTCAGCATAAGCTAGCCTGATAAATTCTCAGATTGACTGAAGCTTTTTGTGCAATTCTGGTAAAACCATAGATATATGTAGCTTCCTTTGGCATCACCTGGCTGGTATGATATACAATGAGCTGCCGGTTAACAAAAAGTAATATACCTACAGTTTATCACTTTATTAAAAGGGATAATAGTTTGTTAGTATGCTGCACATTTTCTAGATAAATTATAAAGTTCAGTTGAAACTAACTTCAGTTGTAACACAGGCTCTTAATTTTAATTTTTCTCCCTTTTTTTCTTCAGTTTTCTTCCACAATGTCATTTCCTTACTTTTTAACTTGACTGCTTTAGCTTGGAGTGGTACTGTGCAATAATCTTTATAGCATTTATAAATCTATTTCTAAAACAGGCCAGTGTTCATATAGAGCCTCTGTCACAGGCAGTCTGTGATAGCCCACGTTCATTCTCTCATTTTGTTTAGCAACACCTGGAATAGTTTCATAGTAGCTAGGGTCAGGAGGGTGCTGAACAGATCAGTGAGCCTGACCCCCTGCCACAGGCAGGGATGAATACTGGGGTCACAAAAACC